AAAAAAAAAAAAAAAAAGAGTTTTGGGAGGTTATTGCTGGGCGCTGTGGCTCACGCCTGTAATCTTAGCACTGTGTGAGGCTGAGGCAGGAGGATTGCTTGAGCTCAGGAGTTACCTGAGTGAGACTAAGACCCTGACTCATGAAAAAAATGGAAAAACCCAGCTGGATGCTGCAGCAAGCGCCTATAATCCCAGCAGCTTTGGAGGCTGAGGGAGCAGGATGCTCATAGCCTGAGTCTGAGATTGCAATGAACTATGATGCCATTGCACTCTGCTCAGGGCCGTGGGTAGAACTCGACAAAAAAAAAAAAAAAAAGAGTTTTAGGAGGAAGATCACAGAGGTAAAGTGTCATTTTCACCACATCACATCAGAGGTACCTATCCATGTGATTTATGACTGTCAGCATTGACCTTGCTCACTGGCCTAATTTTTTTTTTTTTTTTGAGACAGAGTCTCACTTGTCACCCTCGGTAGAGTGCTGTGGTGTCACAGCTCACAGCAACCTCAAACTTGTGCTTAAGTGATTCTCTTGCCTCAGCCTTCCAATTAGCTGGGACTACAGGCACCCTCCACAATGTGGGCTGTTGTTGTTGTTGTTGTTGTTGCAGTTGTTATCGTTTAGCTGGCCCGGGCCAGGTTCAAACCCACCAGCCTTGGTATATGTGGCCGGTTCCATACCACTGTGCTATGGGTGCCAAGCCTGGCCTAGTATTTTTAATTCGTAAGATTTCTTTTTATCAGCCAGGTGCGTGGTTCACACCTGAATCCTAGTACTTGGGGAGGCTGAGGTGGATGGATTGCTTGAGCTCAGGAGTTGGAGACCAGCATAAGCAAGAGGAAGACCCCATCTTTACTAAAAATAGAAAACTTAGCTGGGCGTTGTGGTGGGTGCTTGTAGTCCCAGCTACTTGGGAGGCTGAGGCAAAAGGATCGCTTGAGCCCAGGAGGTCACTATGAGCTCTGACACCGTGGCACTCTACCCAGGGCAACTGAGTGTGACTCTGGGGAAAAAAAGAAAAAAAAGACTTTTTTTTTTTTTTATGGAGGCTCACCTTCAACCAGTATATGTTGCAAATAGTTGTTTCTTTGCTCTGTTTTTTTTTTTTTTTTTTTTTGAGACAGAGCCTCAAGCTGTGCCCCCTGGGTAGAGTGCTATGGCTTCACTGCTCACAGCAACCTCCAACTCCTGGGCTCAAGCGAGTCTCCTGCCTCCGCCTCCCAAGTAGCTGGGAACACAGGCGCCCGCCACAACGCCCAGCTATTTTTTGGTTGCAGCCATTATTGTTGTTTGGCGGGTCCGGGCTGGATTCGAACCCGCCACCTTAGGTGTATGTGGCTGGCGCCTTAGCCACTTGAGCCATAGGCGCCGAGCTTCTTTGCTCTGTTCTTGATGAAGTTTTAGCAAAAGCTCCTCAGATAACACACCTGGCCAGCATCAAGTGTAACCCTCTGCTTCTGACCTGTGAGACCAGGCACATGCCCACCCAACCTGTGATGGAGCTGGGGGTGGGAGGACTGAGGCTTATGTGGGCAGGTATTGGGGGAACTTAGTCTGAATAGGCCTCAGAAGGAGCCAGAACCCAGCTGCCCAGGGCCAGGCCCTCACCAGGCATGGTCACCTCTCAGTATGTTCCTCTTGCTCCCTTACAGGCAAGGGGATCAAGCGGGTGAAACCAAAGCGCACCACATCATTCTTCAGCCGGCAGCTCTCCATGGGCCAGGGGAGCTACACTGTGGTACAGCCCACCGACAGCCTGGAGCAGGGCTGAAGGCAGCAGAACCAGGCAAGAGAGCACATGGGGGAGACCCTCAGTACTCAGGGTCTGCAGGTATTTCAGACCATGCAAAAGGAACTTCTGTGCCTGGGACCATGCCTGGGTTGTGCAGAGCTGCCTGCCGCTCTCTTGACCTCCCTCCGGCTCTCCTTTCCCCTAGACTCTGGGCCCAGCTATCTCAGAGACATCTGGTCAGGCCCCAGCTGGCTTTTCCCACCCAGAGACTCGCCTTTATGCCCATTTCAAAATGGACAGTGTCCCCTGCTCTGAAGTTCCTATTGGCAACTCTGATGGCAGGTGGCTAAGGGTTATCGCTTGGGACCCTCAGTCCCAGTGTGTGCCTTTGGCCTTTCCCCTAGACTTCGGTGACACCTCCCCACCTTCCTTCTGCTGGCATTTCACCACCAATGCCAGGGTGGGCAGCTGCTCTGAGGAGGGAAGGAGGGGGCCTCCCTGTACCTTCCTGGAGGGGACAGAGCCTAACAGGGTCCCGTAGGTTGGTGGGGAGGGCCCTGTGCCACTTACTACAGTCTCCCTTACAGGCATAAGACACTCTGGCAAGAAAGAAGGTGCCTTTTTGTTAGCCTTGGTGAAGTCACTGTGCTGGGACATGGCTGTCCTGTGATAAGAGGCCCACCAGACCCACACTCAAACTCTTCGAAAAGCTCCCCAAACCCCCTGGGTACTGTCCTGGGCCCAGGGACTCTCAGCAGATGAGTGAAACCTGCCCTTTCTCCCAGTGTCCTGAGTCTTCAGATTTTAGTTTTGGTTTTTGTTCATCTGCTTTGGTTCTATGAAATCTGTGAACTTGTGGCTTGGCACCTATGGGTAGGCGCCAGCCACATACACCTAAGGTGGCAGGTTCGAATCCAGCCCAGCCCGCCAAACAACAATGATGGCTGCAGCCAAAAAAAAAAATAGCCAGGCGTTGTGGTGGGCACCTGTGGTCCCAGCTACTTGGGAGGCTGAGGCAGGAGACTCGCTTAAGCCCAGGAGTTGGAGGTTGCTGTGAGATGTGATGCCATGGCACTCTACCCAGGGGGGACAGCTTGAGGCTCTGTCTCAAAAAAAAAAAAATCTGTTAACTTTTGGGGCAACTCGAGAAAAAAGCCATATTAACCTCAGAGCTGCTGGCTTTCCTTCAGAGACAGTGCTGTGATTTACCCGGGGCCAGCCTGTGAAAGGCCCAGTAACATGGAACAGTGTCTTCTTTCTCAAGGATGTTTGGAAAGGTGGCTTTGATGTGCATGCTTGGCTTTACTTTGCCCCAACTTTGCCCTCCCAGGACAGTGGCTCAGTCTCTCCCTGATAAGCTGGGCCTCTGCAAGAGGAGGGCTTTGCCAGCCCCTGGGCTCCAGACTGGTGGGTGCTTCCTGGGACTTCTGCAGAAGAGAGGCAGGCCCTGGTCAGCACAGGGGCCTTTGTCTTTCCTTCCCAGTGGGGGCCTGTGGGAGAGGAAATGCCAGCTTCTCAGCAGGTCTGAGAGCCTGTTTACCTCCTCCATCCAGTAACTGAATACTCCAGTTTTGAGGTGAGCCAGCCTCCCAGCAGCAGCAACTTTATTTGTCATAATAGATGGGGAGGTGTCCCTGGCCTTTTGGAATGTCCCAGGCGCAGGGTGGTGTCAGCTACCACATCTGGACCTGTCCTGACCTCACTGAGCTACCCAGTCCTGGCTGGCTCCAGCCGTCTGGTTATCTCAGTTCCACTGACTATTGTGATTCTGGGGAATTATCTGTCGGGTGGACCAGGGTGCACGCACATGTGCGTGCCCGTACACAAACTACATGTCTTTCCTCCTCCTTATTTCTCATTTTCTGAGCATCCATTGTGCCTTAACCTTTTCCGCCTGCCCTTTGGGACAAAGCAGTATTTCACTAAATGCCCTTTGAATGTTCTCATTCTTTTGTATCATGTGACTTAATAATAAAATCAGTTTCTATCAAACTCTTGTGTGATTTATGATATAAAATAATGACGGTGTGATGGCCTAAGAGTTAATTACAGGCTGTGTACTTAGTTTTTATTAAACACCCATGAGCTATGTGGTCCTTGGGCCCAAGCTGAATGCTAATGGAGAGCCCAGCGGAGCTGTCTAATCTTGGTGGTTCCTCTGGAACTCCCATGCTTGGGTAGTCCCAGAAGGGTGGTACCTGTGGGAACCATTCTCACACCCTCCCTGAGGGCACCTCATGCCCTGGGCCTGGCAGGGGGACATCTCTTTCCCACAGGCCCTGTTGTCAACACTGAGCTTAGTGTGAAAGGACAGCACCTACACAAAGCTTTGGCCTGTAATGTGAGCATTGGGGGAGTGAGGGTTGTTTCACATTGTGGAGCATTTCTGGAGATGGAAGGATCAAGTCACGTGTCCCAGTGTAGTGGGCCTTTGGCCTTTCCCCTAGACTTAGATCCCAGGATGATCTCTCTGTGCAAGAGCAGCTGGTGAGTAGCTTTAATTCCCCTCTGCCATGGAATGTGACCTGTTCCCAGGATTCAAGATTGAGATGTAGAGGTGTTGGAGGCCATTATGCCAACCATGCCACCCCTTCCAACTCTGTCCATCCTACATGGGATTTCAGGGAGGAATGGTCAGATGCTATCCTCCCTGCTTCCTGGTCCTTCCCACTCCATGTCTCTGACCAGGCCTCATGCTCTCTGTTTGGGCTGGGCATCCATTTCTGCAAAGGCTCAGGCTCTGTGGCTGACTTAGGGAACCCTCACAGCCATGGAGGAGCTTTTGCCCCAGGCTGGCCCTTTCTGCAGCTCACCCTGCCCCAGGGATAGCACCCCCCCTGCCTCTAGGTGCCTACTTGTTTCCAAGTTATAAGTTCAGAACGAGTCTTCCCACCAAATCCAGGCACCCTTGTTTCCTACCCAGCCAAACAGGGGACTAGAGGAGCCAGACCTGGGTGGGGAGCCCAGCTGTATGGCTGGTCCCCTCTTCCAGCTCCCCTTGCAGGTGACCTCCTGGTCTATGATTTGGTCTGCCCCCTTCTTCCACACAGTGCACGCTGCCCATGTGTGGGGTGTTTTCCCACTACCTCCCCCATGGCACCCCACAGCACCCCGCGGTCGGGGCCTTGGTTTACTCATCCCTTGAGACAACCATGTTCAGCAAGAACTGGCTGGAAGGTAAAAGCAACACTGTCAACTCCAGCCCCCTCTCTGACTCTCCTGGAATGAGTGAAGGTCAAGCTTTGGCTTCTCCCCTTGCCAGGAGCCCCTTCCAAAACCTAGAGGGGCCTGGTAATGTATTCGGTGGTTTTGTAAAATTCACAAAACATAGAGGTTTTTTTTGAGACAGAGCCTCAAGCTATTGCCCTGGGTAGAGTGCTGTGGTATTACAGCTCACAGCAACCTTCAACTCCTGGGCTCAAGCGATTCTCCTGCCTCTGCCTCCCAAGTAGCTGGGACTACAGGTGCCTGCCACAGTGCCTGGCTATTTTTCGGTTGCAGCCATCATTGTTTGGTGGGCCCCAGCTAGATTCGAACCCGCCAGCTCAGGTGCATGTGTCTGGCGCCTTAGCCACTTGAGCCACAGGTGCTGAGCCAAAACATAGAGCTTTTATTTTTTTTTTTCTTTCTTTTTTTTGCTGTTTTTGGCCAGTGCTGGGTTTGAACCCGCCACCTCTGGCATATGGGAATAGTGCCCTACTCCTTTGAGCCACAGGCACTGCCCACATAGAGCTTTTAAAAATTATTTTTCTTAAAGAGGGCTCCTAAAAATAGGTTTCAGGCCCCACAGGTCCTGGACTGGCCTCTGCCCACCAGACATGCAGCTTCACTTGTTTCTAGAACATACCCTGCACCCTCTTGCCTCAGGGTCTTTGCTCAAGCAGGCTCCTCTCCCTTTGGGAAATCTAGGGGCCTTCAACCCCTCCCTGGCCGGCTTCCCTGTGTGCCTCCAGCACCTCTCCCTGACCCCTGCAGCCTTTTTCCCCCTAGTCACCAGCCTATGGGCTGGGCTGATCCTCCCCTGAAATAGACCATTCTCTCTCCACAGAGCCAAGACTTTCTTCATTGTTGAACTTCCTCCCTCCTGCTCTGTGGTCTTGGGCAAGTTTTCACCATCCTGAGACTTCCTTTCTTCAACTCTAAAATGGGGGCGGTGGGCGGCACCTGTGGCCCAGTGAGTAGGGCTCCCGGCCCCATATACTAAGGACGGCAGGTTCGAACCTGGCCCCGGCCAAACTGCAACAAAAAAATAGCTGGGCTTTGTGGCCAGCGCCTGTAGTCCCAGCAACTCGGGAGACTGAGGCAAGAGAATCACCTAAGCCCAAGAGCTGGAGGTTGCTGTGAGCTGTGATGCTACAACACTCTACCGAGGGCGATAAGGTGAGACTCTGTCTCTCTAAAAAAAAAAAAAAGAAAAAGAAAGGTTTGTTTCAGGCTTGGCGCCTGTAGCACAGTGGTTATGGTGCCAGCCACATGCTCTGAGGGTGGCAGGTGTGAACCCGGTCCAGGACAGCTAAGCAACAATAAGATAGCTCAGTGTTGTGGCGGGCACCTGTGGTCCCAGCTACTTGGGAAGCTGAGGCAAGAAAATTGCTTAAGCCCAAGAGTTTGAGATTGCTGTGAGCTGTGATGCCACAGCACTCAGTACTGAGGGGGACATAGTGAGACTCTGTCTCAAAAAAAAAAAAACAAAAAAAAAACGCTTATTTCAGGTGGCAGAGCAATGGCCCAGAATTCAAAATGGCCACACTCCCTAAGTGGCTCAGTCTTCTCGTTTATCCCAAAAGTACCAGCCCACAGTACCTTTCTCATTGGTCAGTTTGAATCAAGCCGGAGAAGCAGCTCTGGCTTTTACAGAAGTGGAAGTAAGCATCAGCCTCCAGGTCCCAGGAATTTAAGTTAACAAATTCCTAAGAGCTGAGTCACTAAGGGGAAGATGTTGCAGGCATATCCTTGGCACCTCCTTGAGAAGACCTCTGTTCTCTTAGACCTTACTTTTTCTAGGTATCCTCCCTCACTAGCTACCCATGGCACTAAACCCCAGGGCGACTGTCTCCAAACAAACAAAAAACTCAGGGCCGCCCTCCCCAACTCCCTTAGGCAAAAGAGAAAGTCAAGCCTGGAGGGTGAATCATGCAACACCCCTTCCAAAGGAAAAGCTGTGCTAACGTCTTGTTCCAGCCAGATCTCCAGGAAAAGGTAAAAGGCCTTGGGCATCTACCAGGACTGCCTTACAGGTCACTCATAGGAAACTCCTGCCGGCCTCCCATAAACACAGATATGCAAACTGTAACTTTAGGTCTGCAGGCTCAGTCTGGGTCTTAAAACTAAAGTCTGTTAGCTTCCACACTTATAATGTTGATTAGGAATTTATCTTCTCAGGTGCAGAGGAGACACAAGATAAGATCAAACATCTTTTACCTACCCAGGGACATCTACATAATTGAAGCTTCCTTCACTCTCTTTTTCTCTTCAAACATTAATCTTGCCTAAGTAAAATATAGATTTCCTAGGCCTCACAAGAATTTCACTGACCACCCACCTCTTTTTTTCCTTTCTGTATACCCATTCCCCCTTTTAACCTGTGTTCCCAAATCCCACTTTGGAAAAACAAGTCATAGATTTTGTCTATGGTTTGTATTTTTCCTGGGTGTGTCCTCAAACTCGGTTTGATATGTGGAGCCTGATCAACCCCATTTTGTAGCAGCTAACTCCATCGTGTACATGGTTTAAAACTTTGCAGCCTCCACTGCCCCTCCCCTCACATATTGTTACAGGTCCCTGTACACCCTGCAGAAACAGAAAGATAAGTTTAGATTTGCAAGATCATGAAAAATTCCAGTCTGAATGCAAAACCTGCCCTCCTTCAAGGCCCTTTTGTGCCCACTTAGCCTCTCCCTATCGACTCTAATCTTGCG